CTGGGGAAGAGCATAAGAGGGTCAGATTATATGGTCCAAGAAGAACAACCCATCATGCTGCTGCTGGGATGATCCTGTGCTGCCATAGAACCTGTCACCTTCCACATGAAAGGTCATGGTGGGTGATCAGTTTAACAGCAGCCTAGGGTCAACCCAATAGCTCCTTGAGCAGAAGAAGGCACCTCTGGCCTTTCAGAGAGGGCTTCATCCTGACTGAATCCTCCCAAGGCTGCCAGCCATGGCTGCAAGGGGTTTAGCAGCTGCCTTGAAATGGGAATGTGCAGCTAGTGGGAAATCCATGTTTGAACAAAGTGTGTTGGGCTCAGAATGTTTTTGTCATTGATCTCATAACCAGCCTTGAGTTGGAGGGCTGAGGTATTTATCATCCTGTCATTCTGACACACATCCAAATGCTCTGCTCAAATTCAGAGCAGAAGTCTCTGATGGAGCTGAAAATGGTTATAATTTTCAGTTTGGTCTCCCCACGTTCAAGGCTACACTCCTGTTATGCATTCTTCCAGAGAAGAGGAGCAGTAGGCTGGTTAGGGCTAGACTAGATAACTAAATTATTTCCATGAACTGAAAAATAGACTTCATAGCCAAGTGCCTAGTTTAGCAATCTGTAACATCTGTAACAGATTGTTAAAATTAACATCTCTGCCCTGGTGGTTTTCAAGCAGCAGGGATGTTACACATTTTGCCTTGCACTTTGGATTCATCACCTTTTGAAACCCAAAAAAACTTCCTTGCCTCACACTATGCTGGAATCCGTAGCTGTTGCCCAGCGAAGAAATAAAAATGTGATCGTACTCCTTTCTCGTATTATGGCTGGGACTCTTCCACAGAAGCAATTTCATCTACAGGTGAGATCCAAAGTTTTGTTACAAGGTCCTGTTAGAAAGTACTGTGGCAGTCTTTCAGTACCTGCTCAGGAATCTCTCATTCCCATAGTCAACAAGCCCAAAGAGCCAAAAGAAAATTTTCCATCATCTAGAAACCCAATGTTAATCAGTACCCCTCTCAGTAATGCTGGGGCATATGTAGGGAACTCTTTGATGCCAGTTTCAAGGAACCTTTGAGTATCCTTGCTGTTATTGCTGCTAGAAAAGGGTGCTCTGGTCTCTTGCACCACTATTCCATCCCTATGACGCCCATGTTGTGACTCAAGGGCAAGAGAAGAGGTCACAGTTCTGCTTGCCACTTTATGTAAGTTTTGAATCTGCATTCCTTTGCTGGAAGTATCTGTTCAGATACAATATTATTGGCTCCATATATTTATTTGCTTTATTAAACCTCTTATTTTTCCAGAATAACACAGTGATTTGTGCAGGAGCTTCAGACAAAGAAGGGTAGCATGACAAAAAGCATTACAGCCTTCACTTAGATAAGCACTCCACTGACATAGCAGGTTTAACTAAAAAACACAAGAAAAGTACAAGAAAAGAAAAGTTTCAGTGAGTAAAAGCAGCTGGGAAAGACAGCGAAGATCTGACCTCTTGACCAAATTGGTGGCACTGCCTTTTTTCCTTTCAATCAGTCCCACATCTCTCCCTGTCCCTGCTTGCTGTCGTTTCTGCTGTGCTGGAAGTAAAATCCCTGGCTTCAGGAGGCCAGAGGCTGAGCTACCCTGCTTTCCAAGCTTCTCTCTGCTCCTGGCAGAATGAGAAGAAGATAGTGTAGCCATTACTTTGATACATGTCTGGTCATAATTGACCAGATCCAAAATTCAAGGCAATTGATCTCAAAATTGAGAGATCCAAAATTCAAGGCAATTGAAGCTCTTCTCTCCGATGTCATTACACTCCTTAAAAAAACCTTCTTACAATATTCTTCATTACTCTAGGAGTGTAAAAGCCCCAAACCCCCAAATTTTTGTAAGAGGCTATTACTTGTCACAGTCATATATCTCATATGTCTTTGCTCTTAACACAATTATTTTAAGGGCTAGTTTGTTTATAAGTGACACAAAAGAAAACCAGAAATGTATGACTTATGCTCTTCAAAAGCAGTTATTTATAACTATACTAATTGTTTTGTTTCCTTAAAAGCTGTGGGTCATGGCAACACAGCTGCTTTTGGTCTGGCTAATAAGCCTTAGTTTGGGACTAATGTCAGGGTAGTAAGTTTTCCAGCCTGTTACAAACAGCCCACCAGTGATGACACAAAACCTTAATCTGCCTGCTGTGATCTGCTGAGAGACTGCAAAGGTAGAGATTTATTTGCACTTTAAAACACACCTACTCTTTTTCTTTCAAGTGTTTCATGACACATTGTCCCTTGATTATACCAGTCACACACAGTAGAGGATGAATTTGTTAATCATTACCAGGATTCTTCTGTAACCTTTCAAAAGGGGTCTGCCCTGTCCTGCAGGAGTCAGTGACTCACATGGATTTGCTCACATTTGCTGCCTGTCAAAGGCATTTTTAAGGACTGAAAGATTAACTTACTATCTCAGTGTCATTTCATGAAAAATATTTAATTATTTAATGAAAAAAAAAAAGTCTTCAACAGATATTTTCCTGTTAGACACTCATTAATGTATTCATGAATAAGACAAGAACAAGTGTGTGGGCTGTGTCTGGCTCCTGACTTGGTTATGGAGCAGAGACCATGGAGCAGAGACAGAAAACCACTTGCTGGATACTAAATGTAGCTCACAGTTCACTGACAGAATGAATGGCATTTTAGGCCAAATAAACTAGACAAACCCAAGGATTCAGTGAAATTGTGGTTGCTGTGACTGTGGGACAGTGTAGTGGCTTATACTAGAAGGGATAAAGGTAGGGGTGCTGCTTTTTTCCTAAGGAATTCTGCACACAGGGTCTCATGGGCTCAGAGACATGGCCAGAAAAATCTTCTCATGGTTGGAGAGTGCACAGGTGTAGTGAGAGTTGGATACTGTAATTAAAATCTAAGTCAGAAATGTGCTGAAGTGTTGCAGCTCAGCTGGTAAAAAGAATAAGTTAGCGAATGAGGTTAGCAGTGACCAGCCCTGATAAATATTTTTTTTTCCAGATATGATGGTGAAAAGGGAAAAGATGTTACCTTGAGGCTGATTTTAGAATTATTCCAATATCTCTTCCTTTTAGGAACATGGTAGTTCTCATATCAGACCAGAATGTGTCTCATTCTGTTCAATATTCTACCTTAAAAAACACAGTCAGCACTAGACACTTTGTGGCAAAGCCTTGCCTTACAAGGCAGACGCATTTGTGTTTTCCTCTTCAGTATTCAAAGCTATCTAAATCCTAAAGTAAAGAGTTTAATGTGTAATTTAGATTTTTTTTCAGCATTATCTCTGATATTTTTATTCCTTTTTAGTTGTCCAATCTCTTTTTCACAGCACTAACAATTTAAATTTTCTGTCTCTAAGGAACAACCAATAGATACTTTATTGAAGCCCTTCAAAATTTACCTGAATCTTCATTCTGGTTGTTAAAATAAGTGGTGAATTTTTTGGATGCTAGGTAAGAATTAAAATTTGCTCTGCCTTTCCTGTGTCACTACTTTGAAATTATCTCAAGGAAACATCTAATCCACTGATTTGAGAAGAGAGAATTTTGGAGAACATTGTTAATATCACCACATTCAAAAATACCTCTTTATAGATCCTAGATTTTTTCTCAATCTGCTGTTTTTAATTTGTAGCTGGATTCTGTGTAGTACCAGGAGAATAACCATGTGCAGAATTGTTCTATTTGATTATTTTTCTTTCAGTTAAAATTACTTTTTCTTCATTATTATTGACCTGTCAATTCAGTCAATTGAGAGAGAGATCCATGGGTTTGTCTGATATGTGAAGTTCATTGCCCAATGTCTTGGCACCCAATTACTGCAGTTGATTTAAATGTTGGACATTTCCTTTTCCAACCCCCTCCTGCTTGCTCTTCTGAAAAGGCCAGTGCCTTTAAAAGAATAGTGATAGGAAGTGTATCACAGTACTCCCAAAAGGGCGTCCTACAATTAGAATTTGGCTAGGCAAAGTGCTGCAAGTAATGGAGCATATTCCAGCTTTAATCTCACCATGCTGGAGCCATTAGGAGGGAAGATGGACCTGACTGGACATATTCATGATAAGGATAAAGGCAGCCCAAATGAAAATGCTGAAGTGTAATGCATTTTGCCTTCCAGAAGAATGTGATGCATGCATACCAAACAGTAATAAATGAGATTGGGGTAGATCTTAGGAATTATTTTTTAATGTGCAGTCAGCTACACACCAAATTATGTTACCTGGGGAAACTGAGGAATCTCCATAATTTGAGATCTTAAAGACAAGATTCCATAAGCATGCCTGGAATAGTTTAGGCGTAACTGGTCCTTCCTTGGAGCAAGTCAGAAAACCTTTTCAAGTCCTATGGTCTGTCTATTGTTTAAAGGTCCCCTCATGACTCTCTTGTGATGCCACAGTCACAAAATCCTGTTTGCTACTTGCTTTGGAACTGCTTAATTTGAAACAAGTCCCCTCTGTTACTGCTGTGACAAGAAATTCTTACAATGGCTGTGCTGTTTCCTAACACGGGCCCTGGGTTGTGCCATATACAAAACATATTGCTATAAAATTATTTTTCTGTGTAACAGGTCATTATAACATCTATTTTGTCATTCTTTTGTTTCTACATTAATCTTTGATACTGAACCATCCCCATCCCTCTGAGAAGCTGGATTGCTGCTCTCTATTCTTCAGGAAACTTGGCTTACTTTGTACACCAGTATATTTGGCCTTTGAAAGTTGGCTTGCAGTTAGCAGACAGAAGCGGGGTCAGAATTAGTTCAAAATAAATTAATAGTCAGAAGTTCTAACTTGCTAAGCTGCGTGCAATCCACCCTTCAAAGGATATTCACCAATTGCTGTAATTGCTCTCTTCAAGGGCTTCCAAAAAATCCTTGGACATGCTAATTAATGCTGTTTTAGATATATGTTAAGGCATTTGACCTGAGAGTTTAATTCTACAGTTTAATTCCATAATGATTGTAAATGGTAGGACTGCTGCATATTTAAAAGAACATTAGTGTGAATTTAGCTAGCTGTTGGCAGTTTAAGAGTGACTAACAGATATTAAATAAGCATGAAATTCTGGCGGTGAATGACACTTTTATTGGGGCAAGGGCTGGGAGCTGAAGGAAGGAGAAAAATATTGCAACCATCCATGGTGACCTTCCCTTTTCCCTGGATTTTACAGAGTCTTTGCGCAACTTTCCCATCATCGGGACAAGCCTGAGTTGGTGGAAGGGCCTTGTCCTTGCAGACTTCGACAGCACATGATGAACTTGGTGGAATTGGAACTTGTTGGATCCGCTGAAGTCATTGACAATCCCTTGCTGATGTCACTGACACCAGGATTTCCCCAAATAACTGAATATTTCAGCCACTAACAGATAAACACATCTTCCAGTGTCAAGAAAGAAGTGTGTAAATTCTATCCCTTCTTCTGCCAAATTTTTCTTTCTTTTTTTTTTTCTTTTTTCAAAGTGGATGTCAGAAGAAATCAATTGCTAGAGAAAAGAAAAGAAAACAAGTTGATCCTTTTATTGTTACTGTTCAAAAGCGTCTCTTTGTTTCAGAGACAAAAATGGTAGCAAGTGACTTTTTTCCAGCCCTCAGTGGCTACATAAATTTCTGCTGCTAAGGGACAAACATCATTGATTTGACCGACTTATTCAAAACAGGTCACGGAGCTAAAGCTTGTTGTGTCAATTCTCATCATATACTGATGTGGCAGGTTTTATGAATAAAATATGGGCAGTTGTTGTCTGGGAGGATGCCACATCTTAGCTACCCAAAACCCTCTGTCCTTGAAGAGCAAAGCTTTGAAAAATTAGGACCATGTTTCAATCCAAGCTGTACAATATGCTTTTCAATGAAGTGTAATATATTGTTTTTAGCTGAATAACTTTCTTCTCCTCTTCTCCCCTCCCCCTGTCCCTCCCCTACTTAGGGGGGAAAAAAAAAAAAAGAGCCATGCCATCTTAAACTAAAGCACACTTCAGTCAGTCTCCCTGTGTGTGCTCTGTGCCAGCAGCCACAGCAATTCTTTCATCTTGGCTTCAAAGTGGTGCTGAGAGGGGGAGGGGGGCATCTAATGAAAGAAGGGAAAACAAACAAACAAACAAACAAGCACAAAACGGGGGAGGAAATGAAAAATAGCAGTCTACCTTTCAAATCTGAGTGTTGCCTGCAGGCATGCTCTGCAGTGGATGTTGCACTCAGCTTCAGCCCCTTGTATATTTTTTTTTGTTATTGCCACTTCCCATGCTGGGAAGATTCTTGTCATCCCTCACATATTTTATGCGCAGAAAAGGCTGCCCTGCCCTGTGCTTGGTGATTGAGGCTGTGCCCCTGGTGTGCCACACTATCAGTGGTTCCCAAGGCTGCCTAGCCTGGGAAAAGCTGCATGGAAACGGTCCAAAATCAGCATTACATGCATTATTGTTCTTACTCTCTCTGATTAGAGTGCACACAATGAAAACAACAGCAACAGCCTCGTTTTCTAGCTCTCCTCCCAACACAGGGCTGTTCTTAGGCTGGTTTTTTTTTTTTTTCTCAGAGTCTTCACAGAAATTAACTGCTTCTGTACTGGTAGGTCCCAGGCACCCCAGCAGCTTCTCTGGGGGGAAGCCCAAAGAGCTTGGTTTGACTGGGAGTAACATTTTCAAAAGTGCTTAGTTGGCTTGTGAAATCCCATTTTTTAAAAACAGGTCTAGTGGTAGGCTGTCTTGTGGACCACTGGAAACGCACTGCTTGGGTACTGCGGTGAAATGCAAGGCAGAGTAATCCTCATAAAACAAAACAGAATAGGCTGAAAGATATTTAGGCATTAGTCCCTTGAACACTTATGCTTTGTGTTAAATGCTGGAGGCAACACACGCAATGTTCTAGCAGTGTGTCACAGCACCTTGGTCTCCCCCAGCCCAGCCACCATCACTTTTTTTTCTTACTCCCTGCTCAAAGGGATCTTGCTGTCCTGGCTGAGAAGTGCCAGAATGGACTAGCACTGCTCTAGTGGCTTAGCAGTCATTTGGCAGACATTAGTTTGAATTTCATGAGGTCTGTTCCAAGTCCTGGGGTAGCCAGTTTGGGGTGGGATAAAGATCAGTTTGTTCTTTGAAGAAATGGTGTCCAGCACTTATCCCAAGCACAGGGAAATGCCATTTAGGAGTCCCTGGGTGAGACATGGCATTTCAGGCTCAATCTGATTTCATATTTCCTGAAATATGTTAGGTGGTATATCAGACAAAGGAGGCAAAGAATTTCCTTCCCATTTAACAGATCAGATGTATTCTAGAGTGTCAAGTACCTGCACCTTGAACGTGCGCAAGTATTTAATCAGAGGTGAACTCCAGAAGAGAGCAGTAGATAGACTTGGGAGCTAAAGATGAGAAAGAAAGACTGTGTTTTTAGACATAAAAATCCCAGAGAGTACATTTTTTGTTCAGTTGTAATAGGTGTTAATATTTCCTTTTTTTTTTTTTTTTTTTTTTTTAAATGCAGGCCTGTCTTGAAGACACTATTGGGAACACATGTAGGAACAGACATCATATACTGTAAGTGATGTTTTTGTTTTAGGATCTTTTTTATGACTTTTTTCATATGCCCCAGCTGTATTGCAGAAAGGGATCCCTGATGCTTATTCTCTTCACAGAAAGAGATATAGATGCTCTGGGTTACTCTGCAGCCAAGGACCCCCAAGAGCCCTGAGCATCTTTTGCTATGAGTGACCTCAAATCTGCAGAGGTGCCTGGGGGGTTAATGGTAGATGTTCTTAAATTGCCATCCAGCAGATGAAAGACAGATGTTTACTTTTAAGACATTTTCAGACCAGGGAAAAAAAAGCACTTTGAAATTCGAAGAAAAAGAAACAGCTCTCTAGTCAATGCCTTGTATAGTCTTCTGTTTTTGGAAGGGATCAGACTGAATCATAGAAAACAAAAATGTAAAATTGCAGAGTTCTGTTCTGCCACTTGTTTCAGTGTCACAGTCCTTAAATCTAAAACTTTTTTCCAAGCCTTTTAGGTTCAGCTTGAAATTTCATAATCTATTGAGAAGATTTTTTCTGCCTTGTGCATCACTCATGGTAAAAAATGTGAGAAGAAAGTCAGTTCACTATTTTTCTAAGATTGAAATGCACAATGAAGGAAAAGATTTGTTTATTCTTCAAGAGTTCTACTGACATCATATTTCTCTGAAAAATAATGTCTCCTTTTATGCTAACAAAGTCCTTATGGTCCAAAGGCAGAGCTGGGCAATAAACTGCTCTTGTCTTAGCTGACTAATATATTTTTAGGCAGGATTGACCCTTTGGTTATCTTAACATGTCATAACTCTTTTAACTTTCAGGGGCTGCATAAAGAAAAAGGTGAATAGAGGGCTGCAAAAAATAATTTTAATCAGCTTTTCTGAACCTTTCCATGTTTGAAAAACAAACTTGTGTTACTTAGTATGTGAACTTAAATACAACTGGGATGGGACTTCTGTATCAAAAACATTTCCTCTATTAAAAACCTGGAAACTGGCTGTCATTACTCTTCCTTCTCTTTCTTCCCAAATCAAATAGTTGTGCCAACTGCTTGTTTTGTTTAACAGTCCCAGTCAGAGAGATATCATGGCTAATCACACTATCATTTTCTAATGTTCACTGGAAGGAAATCTCAAATTGTTCTTGAGAACCTAAATATTAGGCTTATTATAAATCTGATTAAGCAGGAGCACCAATCCTTGAAGGCAGGATGAATACAACTCCTAGGAAATTGTGGAAAAGAAAAGCATTGCTGAACCACTGCTGAACGATTCTGTAGATTGTTGCTGGAGACTGGTCTTCCAAAACGTATTTTCTCTGCTTTGGTTAATTTATTTGTTTATAAATTCCTTTTCCATTAGTTATAAAAGATCAAAATTTAAAGAGTTCCGGAAAAACTGCTCCCTGCACTCTTTGCTAACATGTCCAGCATGAACTGAAGCTCTTGCTTTCTCCTGTGTGCCAGGCAGTGACATAGGACTCAGGTAGTGTCCTGCACAGCACCTGTGACCTCGTGTTCCTGTCTCCATTGCCATATGCCAAACATATGGAGGGATATCTGTGGATTGAGGTGTGCAAAGCCCAGCCACATGTGAAGTGATCCAACTTCCAACTTGGAGAAGCAATTAGCCTGACCAAGAGCTGGAGGGAGGCAGGCCCTAAGGTCACTTTGAAAAATAGTGTTTAGATTATAACTCAGATAGGTTCTTTAGGAAAAAAAAATTCCACTTGAAATACAGCTAGACCAAAAGTATTTCTACATCTACACAAGATTCACATGTGACATCTGTGTATCTGCCTGCGGTTTTGTTTGTGCCATGTCAACAATATTGGAGAAAAGTCTGACTGAACACATGAACATGCTTTGTGGCCCAAATGAAATTCCCTTGGCATTGATTAGGAGCTCTGCTGAGGTACGTAGGGGTGGATGTGACAGAGGTACCACCTGGGTTAAACCTGTTATGTAGCTCTGGTGACCCTCTTTCAGCAGCTGGGGAGGCTGAAAGGGCTGTTTCCACCTCTGGGGCAAGCAGGACTGGTGTGGCCAACAGCTCCCTGTTGTGGGGTGACAGCAGGTCTGGGATGACGTGCTGAAGTGTGCCTCCAGGTCAGCCAGGGCGCTGACCTCCCCCTTGCTGCAGGGCCATCCCATCACCACGGTGCCCTTCACCTGACCATTGTCTGGGCTCATTTGTCATCTGGGCTCGTTCTTTTTTCCACAACAGCCGAGGAGTTTGTCCCAGTCAATCTGCTTGAGTACCACAAGATGGGAGAAATCCTGGCAGTAAACAGGCTAGCAGGCAGTTTTCTGTCTTTCTTAATATTTTATTTATGGGGAAGAGGCCGCACGAATAATTGAAGATGCCTGTTTGCACCCACTGCAATCTGTGAGTGGTTTGCAATGTAAACATGTCAACTCACAACTGGAGCTTGAGAAACACATGTGCCAAAGAGCCTCGGGCCATTTGTCTGTCAGTCACACTCACCTTCCCAGCAGTGCCCTCCTCCTGTCACGCAGGGCAAGCCCAGGTGCGGGGCGTTCCTGTCCTGGATGACGCTGGTGCAAGTTTCCATGGAAAAATCGATGCGGAGGAGAATGGAAACAGACATGGCATGAGGTGAACTTATGGTGTATTTTACAGAGTAAAAAACAAATGGTATTTCAGACTGGTTTTATTTTATTATTTTTTTTCTTTCTTGTGTAACATACAAATTGAGATCAGCTGAGGCACCAATAGGGTTGCCTTTAAAGCAACTGAAATGCTGTGCAGAAATACTCAACAGAAACAGCAAACAAAAGGCCAAGAGGAAGAAGGAAAGAGGTGGAGAGGCCTGGAGCATTGCAGGGGGATGCTAAAAATCCTGCTTGGACAGAACTAGCAAGGGGTAATGGGAGGTAGAAGTACTGCTTAATAAGGCACTATAGGAAAACAGAAATAACGCAAAACACAAGGATTCTCTAAGAAGTGACAAGGTCTCCAAAGTCTTCCAAACCTGATTTTGCTACATAAAGGCCAGATGCTGAATGGATGAGGTCCTCAATGCAGTTCTTGACCTGATGTGATTTATGAACACAAGTGTAAACTCGGTACTGAGGGTGTAGTGTAATGAATCAATTCCTGTAAATATTAAAAAAAGATTGACATTCAAAGCTTCTGCCATCCTAAAACCCTAGAGCATACAGGAGACAGCATTTCATCCCCTCCAAGCCTAGAGCTTGAGGGAGATAAGAGTTGTTTTTTAGATGCATTGGATTAAAACAGAAGAATTTGGAAAAAGTCAGGAGAATATTCTCCATACACACGATGGTGAATTGAAAAAAACAAGTGAGCATATCAGACCCTAGAAAACTTGCTCAGGAAACTGTTCTGAATGTTCAGAAGAAATGTTAGAAAAGTCTCTGTGACAGAAGTATTCAGACAGTCATGATTGCTTCTTTCCACTTTGCAAAAAGTGGAATGTGAGTGAATAGGATTTTGTAGAAATTTCTGTTAGTTTACTGAATTAAGCTGAGAAACGTATTCTACCAGAAGCTTCAAAAATGTGTATTTGTTTTTAAAAAATGAGGTGTAAGTGAGCAACAGCACGATGTTAAGAACAAAGTTGATGCAAAAAAAGAACTCTGGTGTGGACTTCTCACCAACTTTGCACTGACGTCACATTGTTGGCTACAGTGGACCCAGCCCTGATTAATTGCCCTTGTCAGTCAGATCCTGGGAAAGAGTCTTGAAGGCAGACTGATACTCGAAGGGCATGTCAGATGTGAGGTTATTTGATTAGTGTCTTAGCTGAGAGCAGACTTAAAAGTGTTTTGAGTTGCTGGGCTGTGTAGTGAAAATGAGCATTAAGAATTTCCATGTGTACAGGTTCACCCTCCTGTTTCTCCATGTAGCTGAAGGCCTCCCTCCAAAATCCCTACATAGGTCCTGTAAAAATCACTGGGAATTCTGTGAAAGTGTTGGAGGATGATAGCACGGTGCACTTTACTTTTCGTTACTTGTGAGAATTGTCTCAATACATTGTTTCTTAGCCGAGGATTATTTTATGCAACTTAAAGCTTTTCTATTAGAGAAAATAATGCTTAACATCTTTTCTTGCACTTTCCTAAATCAGGACATGCATCGCTTGTATCTAAATTTAGTTTGGATATGACTGCTCTAATATTTTTTCTTATTTTATATTCATCTCTCCTCTCTCTGCTGGCTTAATTTCAGACAAAGAAAGTCAATATTTTCTCTGCGAGTTATTTCATTTTGTTGGTCTATGATATCATAGCAAATGTCAGCTGATCTTATGTAATATAGAGTTGAAGACTGTTATCCTTCCTTTTACAAATAAACAGATCTAAATAACATAGGTTCACGGTCAAATGGAGTATTTTTAGAGCTATTAAAAGAGTAAAATAGTTTTCTCTGCTGATGAGAAAGTCTGCCTCTTATCCTGGTGGTCTCTTGTTTCTCCTCCGCTTGCATTTGATCTCTAACACTGTGACACTATACCATTTTGCTGGTAACAAAGTCATCATTCACTCATTATTTAGCAAGTCTGAGCACATTTTATGGTTGATAGCTAGATTGCCAGCATGGTCCAAAATTAACCTCTCTCTGCTTATTTTTGCTTAGCTGTAGAGCCAAGGCAGTACAAAACTCCTCGTGTGGCAGGAGGCAGCACGTAATAGCCTCTGTATTTCTTTTCACTGAAGGGGCTAAGTTCTCCACTCCTTTGAGTGCAGGTAAGTCTGTGGTCAGCAGGATAAATTCTGACCCAACAGCATCGGGAACCTCACCATCCCTTCAGCCTGTGATTTGGGTAGGAGGTGGATGTCTCTCCGAGTTTACAACTGCAAGGCAGCCTTAAAATGTCCACGATACATAGGCACAACAGCTTCTCGCCTTGGCCAGGCAGTGGAAATAAGTGAGAAGGATCGGTGGGAGGGTCAGTGTTTGTGATGCCCTTTTCCTTGGCAGGCCGCGGCTGTGGGGAGCAAGAGGCGAGAGGGATCCTCGGTCGGACGCAAGCTGCTGGAGATGCTGCTGAGCCCCAGCCGTCAGCACAGGCAGCTTTTTCTCTCCCAGCACACCGGATTAATTTCTGCTGTTGGCAGAAGGGCAACACAAATGTATTTGAAAATCCCTTCCCCTGCATAATCAAAAGGGAAGGAACACGACACGAAAGCTGCCGAACAAAGAGCAGACAAGCGCTCCCACCCCTTGAACCTCCCTTTCCATCACCCGTGCGCCGGCTGGCTCTCGGGGCCCGTCTAGGTCGTATTATGACTCCTTTATTAGTGTTTAAGGTCACCGGGAGACATGCAAGTGCATCCTATATCAGGAAGTGTAGTGAGTCTCCAGAGTGAAATATTTGGCTGTTAGCGAGAGCCGTGGCTGCGACTCGGAAATGCCGGGACGCGCCCGAAGGGCGGGCGGCTCCCGGCGCCGCGCTGCCTGCAGCAGGCACAGACACAGCTTTCCTGCCATTCTCCGCACGGGGCTGCCTTCCTCCCAGACTTCCCCACCGAGCCCCCACAGCTCCTCTGCCACTCCGGCCAGCTGGCTGCGGGCGGCAGTTCCAAGGAGAAGGCCTCCACTGAGGCAGGTAGCCGGCAGAAGAATGTGCCGCCGGCTGCCGCTGCTGCAGGAAGCCTGATTAGGAGCACGGAGTGGGCCGGCCCGCCGCAGAGAGCCCTGCCCGCCGCAAAAGCGGGCCCAGAGGGGAAATGCCGGGCTGCCACCTGCCTCAACACCTGCTTAAAGTCAAAGGGGGAGGCCTTTCTGGAGCTGCAGGTCCCGCCACCGTGATCTGATGGCGGGCGGGAGGATCCTTGAAGCGCCTTGGGTGACAGAGAGTGTCGCAGCTTCCTTGGCTGTACCCACGTCCCATCCCTCGGACTTCGGCTCCGGCGTCATCAGACATAAGGTCTGCTCGGAGCACACGCATTGTTTTATACATCGTGCCTGACAATAGCTAAATGAAGCAGCTGTTGGCAGAATGTGATGCAGAAAGGGAGGCAGAATCGGGAACATTTTTTTCTTATCTCCGCGAGGAACTTCAAAATATTTATGTTGTATCAGCCTGTGCAAGGATAATATCCCCTTTCTCTTTCTTTTCCTAATGTAAAAGAGAGAGATGCAGACGAGGTTGTGTGTCAAC